TAAAAACCCACAAATCAATAGTTGTGTTCTGTGTATCTCAAATTCCAAACTTATCATTATTCAAAATTATTCATCTGTTTTTTTTTTTTTGTTTTTTTTTTGTTAAGTAAATATTTTTTTAAGTAAATTTTTCCACACTAAACATTCACATTTCATTTGCATGGAAGCTAAAGTCAAACCTGCCTGTGTGTACCTGCTGCATTATATTTACATACCGTTTTATATATTCACTCTTATATAATATATCTATATATGTGTGCCAGGTACAGCGCAAGTTAAAAATTGTATTCAACTTTGGTACAGTTTATCTGTAAAACAACATCTAACACCACCACTATTGCCACTATTCCTCGTACTGTAGATCCATATCCACGTACTGTACGGCTACAGCTTCTATTCTAAATATATCTCCGTTGTCAGCCATTGCTGTCATTATTGTGTAACTTCCGTAACGTAATAACTATAATTATGGTGTCATCTGCCGAGCCTGCTGCTTTTCCTGGGTGCTGAAGTGTGATGTGGTGCAGAGTATAGACTCTAAATCTCAGGGTTGTCTAAGACTGATAACCCGACCTGGGGGACGAATATAGACGCCACCACCAACCAGAGGGGGGCGGCGGCGTCTCCTGGCAGAGGGAGCCACGCCTACTATTTACAGAGAAGGGGATGAGAGGGAGGAATGTGTGTTAGGAGGTCAGTCGGTGTACGTGTGTGTGTGTGTGTAGCGGAGAAAAAGAATGTGATGTGATTTGTTTTAGCCTTACTTTCCCACCTCTCACACACACAGTCACACACTCCCTCACATTCACAGGGAAATTGTCAGTGTTAAAAAAAGAAAAATGCCCCGCTTAGAAAAACACCTACCCAATTAAGAAAGGCATATCCCATTTCAAATAACTGTGTGTGTGTGAGAGTGTAAGAGAGAGAGAGAGACAGAGAGAATGAGTGGGGGAGAAGCCACAGGCTAAACTCTCACCAAAGAGAACACGATTGGCTTTAGAGAAGGCCAGGATAAATATTAGAGAGGACTTAAGGTAATCTTTGCACACATGCATTCCCCTGACTCCACACACACACACACACACAGATAAGGAAGCGGTGGGGGAGATGGAGACAAACACACATTCTCAGACACCTTGAGGTAGACATGGTGGCACACACACACACACACACACACACATGTCTTGTACTTGCTCCCGACGCTCACAAAGACGTGAGTGTGTTCTGTGCCTGTCCAGTGAAAGTACCGTGAAACTGAGCACAACTGTCAGGAAGGAGAGGAAATGATTAGGGAAGGACTAACAGGAGGAGGAGGAGGAGGAGAGGAGAGGAGAGGAGGAAGGAGGGATGGCCAACAGAAAGAGAGTGTGAGAAGTGGGAGAAGACGGACAGAGTGAAAGACAGGGAGACAGGAAGGAGGGAGAGATGCAGACAAGGGAGAGGTGAAGGAGGAAGAGGAGACAGACGGGGGTGAGGGCTGAAGAGGAGACTAGGATGGGAGAGGGATAATGAGCAAGGGGGGGGGGTGAAGAGGAGACAGAGAGGTGGGACACTGGAGACACAAGGCGTCCAATTCATCGGCCTCAGGAGCTCGCTAAATCCAGACTGATCCATGGGATTCAAGCAGGGATTTCATCACTCCCATCTCTGTCCCCCCTGCCCTCCCCCCCTCCCCCCCACACACACACACACCATACACCATACGCCAACATATGATACTATACTATCACACTATACGATACTACACTATACTACTGCATACTTCACCATACTATGTTATACAATACTATACAATTACACAATACACCTTACTATACTATACCATACTATATAGCTATTGTATTGTATTGTATTGTATTGTATTCAATACTATACTAAACACTTGTACACTACACATTACTATACCATACTATACTACTACATACTTCATTGTACTATACTATGCTTTAGTATACCATAATACACTATACTAAATCACACCATCCCATACCATACCATACAGAAACTGTACTATATCATACTGCACCGTACTGTGCTGTACTACATTATGCTATACCATATAATCACTTAGCATGCCATCTTATACAACACATAATCTATAGTTTTAAATATTTTCACAAACATATCTGTATATATGTACATATAAAAGATAATACGCCCAGTTTGGCAAATCATCTTTTTACCCTAAGATAATGGGTTTGATTCCAGTTGTGTGACTACATATCCCTGGGCGAGACACTTAACCCCAACTAGTCCCAAATCTGGTTTAATGGTGGGGGTTGCACCATATCCAATGATGAGAACCCAGGCAAAGAACAGTCATCAAGTACCTCAGTATTCATGTGTCTTTGGTTTGTGTAGTATCCTGAAGCGGCCTGGTGAAATTATAATGTTAGCAACAGCACTGACTTTTATTGGGGCCTGTAATCAATTGGATGAATGTGTTGTTAATCACATAGTACAGGAACAAGATTCACAAAACTGACACCATGTCCTAAAAAATGATAGAGACCTTAAACCATTGATCAACACCACAGCCCTCACATGGAAACACTTGTTGACAGTGTGAGTCTGCTTTGTATTCCTAATAACTTCAAACCAAGGTACTTCATGATCAGAGCTTCGCATTGACTCTTTCCTTTTCCTTTTTTAAACCAGATTGTTGTAATGATCCGACTGCTGCTGTGTTTTATTATTATTATTATTAAAATCATTACCATTTACTAATGGAAACAACTGTTTATCTTCCAGGAGGAGTTGAGCCCATTGCAGAAGGAGCTGGTGAAGGTGAGGAGCTAGAACTTCCCCAGGATGCCACAAAGTTCCTGAAGAAGAAACAGCCGTCTAAGAAGGTCAAGAAAGGTAGGACACTTTCCATGTGCTGTCATCTCCTCTCCTTTCTGTTTACGTCTCTCTCCAGAGAAGAATGTTTTTCTTCCCTTTTATCCTTCAACCCTGCAGCTCAGCTTCACTTTAGCGCATTGTTAACTGATCCGTATCAAAATGCGTCCTCGGTGCAGCGGTACATCTGCAGCATTGCTCCCAGCTGGTCAGTAAATCCTGACCAGTGCTCTGACACTGATACCTGCTCAGTGTCTGTCACACTGTTGTAATCCGCCTCTATTTTTCCCTCATGGCACAGAGCTCTTCTTCATCTGTTATTTGCACATGCTGTTGGCTGGGGCTCCACGGAATCAGCAGGGTTCAGATTCTGATCACTGCCAAAAGATGAAATCAAACAATAAATCTGGCTCTGCAGATGCAGCGTGTCTGTTTATCGTGTTACTCAGAGCGAGGGCCTGTGTTTTTTCACTCTGTCGTGCTTCGCTGTTGAAATAACTGTGAGAACTTTGATGGGTTTCTTCTTCGGTCCAGATGGTCAGGTGATCAACAACGGTTGTCCACATAGTAGTAATCAAATAAGGTCCAGTTCTCAAAACATGAAGTTAATCCTGATATATGGGTCTGAGTCCATAGATTATTGACAGTTGTGATTTGTGATCTTTTCAAAAACCTGTTAGCTCAGCAGTTCTCCCCTGATGGATTTCAGACCACAGGCCTGTTCTCAGCACAGTGAGTCTAAGAAGAATTTGTCTCTTCTAATACCAGACGAACTATTCAAGCAATCTTAAAGATGTACTCGTCTGGGGAAAAAACAGTGGCTGTACTTATGCAAGAACAATAAACCAGAGTTTATATTCCATTATTCAACACATTATTCCACACATCCATGAATTCTATAATTTTTTGGCGTCCCTTTGATGGGCTCTGTGCTAAAACTAATTTGTGCATGTGTGTCTGTGTGTGTGTGTGTGGGCATAGCTAATCCAACCAGGCGTCGCCACTAATGAGAAGGGGAGGTGTAGGAGACACAGAGGGGGCGACAAAGGGAACAAATAGACACACACACACTCACACACACACACTGTGTCACTCCTGCCTTCACTTCTTCCCTGAAGGTCCAACTGGAAAAAAACAAATTCCCATCAGAGAACGATGCCTAATTAGTTTTGTTTGTCATGGAAACCTCCTCAGTGAGTCGCTGCTTTACACCTAAAACAACAGGAGGAAGGAGGGACACAGAGGCAGGGTGGAAGTGGAAGTGTTTGAGGACGGGGAGTGTGAGGAGGGACAGCATGTCCAGACTTGTCTACTCCTCCACCTTCACCTCCTCCTCCTCCTCCACCTCCTAAATTTAGCAGCTTGTAAAAGCTTTGAACGCACCGGTGTATTACCTTGTAGTGAAAGTTTACATCACAGAGAAAATAATTATTATGATCATAATAAAACCATTATTGCTCCTCATTCTGTCATCGCATCCGCTGATTGGCTACTGTTGTCAAGGCCAGCCAGTAGCAAATCCCTGATAGTTACACACGTTCTTTTCCTCCCGTCTACTGTTGTGTCATCATTAGCATTGTTGTGTGAAAACACTTTAGATAAATATAAAAAAACAGATTTAAAATGAAATACTAATTTATACTTTATGAACAACATCAACAACTTGTGTGTTTTTTATACCATGTTTTTTAAACACATAAATGTGTTTATTTTTAGAGAATGTATCATTTTACTTGCAAAATTGTGACTTTTGAGAAGTTAAGATTGGCCATATATTGTGGTAATGGAAGTTTTAGGGGTCACCTGTCAGTGACCTCAAATATATAAGTCCAGGCCATGTGACCCTGGCATTTCATAAGGTTGATAGGACCCCCCTGGAACTGTTCAACTGTTTTAGCTTTAGCAGCTAATGCTAAACATACAGTCTATCCTCCTGTAATTTGTCATACCAGAGAACGTGTACGTGGCATCCTGTGAAACTTTCATGTTTTGCCACTGACTCTTAATGTCTTGACCACAACACACACAGGTCTGCAGCTGCGTGGCCGTGAAAAATATTCAATGGATTAAAATGTCATCAGTAATGCAGTAAAAGTGTGTTATGAAGCTTTGGACTCCAGAACATTCTGTCTAAGTTAAGTGAAAACATGCAGTGATGTCTGCAGACTTTTTAATCCAGGATTTAAGTTTATTGCCATTTCAACGCATGTTAACAAAACATGAGGTGGAATGAAATGTATTAACCTGGTCCTGGAGCGAGCCCAGTCAATAATGATAATGAAATTATGGAATTAATTAACAACAATAATAATAATGGAATGAGCAAAACATGTAACACTAGTGACAAATGCACAGCGAGTTTTTTTTTTCGTTCTTTATCTTTTATGACCTCATTAAGTCATCAGACACATCAGCTGAGATGCGGTAAAAATGCTTAAACCCCCTCCCACCAACTTACAGTATGATCTGTTCTCTGTTGTTGGCAAAGAAAATCCCCCAGAAGCCTCTTGGCTGCCGTGGGCAGCTCAAACAAAGCTGTAAAACTGAGGAAGAATAAATCAGTTCAAAGCTTTCCATTTTTCAGACAAAGACACACACACGCGTGCAAACACCTTCCGCCTACCTGTCTATGACTTTAAGGTAATTAGGCGTCGTGCCAAGCCCTGAACCGCACACACACACACACACACACACACACACACACACACACCGAGCTGTTAGGGCCAACACAGGCTTCCGGAGTGGTCTACTTGAAAGACATCAAAAAAAGCCATTTGGAAAGAGAGGAAGAAAATACAGCTCTCTCTTTCCTGCTCTCTCCTCTCTCTCTCCCCCTTTCTCTCACTCTCTGTCTCCTCACCTTAAAAAGAATGGATGAAAGAGACGTAAATTGGAGAGTATCTTCCTTCTTCTCTTTCTAACACTACAACTTTTTTTTTTACTGTGCTGCTTCTCCCTCCTGCAATCACACACACACATACACAAGCACACACACAGGCTGTATCTTGTCCTGATCAGGGCTGGCCTGCTGTGAGTCCACGGTCAGTTGCCTCATTGAATCACATTATGTGCATTTACAGCCACAGTAACTGCTCTGAGCTAACAATGTTAGCCCCCTTGTTTGCTTCGAGCTGGTATAAAACCATGTTACTGTTGCACCTTCTGTATTCTACCAACCATCATTAGCCCTTCGCCTTCATTCATTAGTGATGTCTTCAGTGCATTAGCAGCGGCTGTAGATCGATCCATTAGAAGCTGAATATGTTTTGAGCACACCTCTTTGCAGTCCCTCTCTTTCTGAATTCTTTTGTTAGCTTTGTTGCAGGAAACTGTGTGTTTCTATTTTCTCTTAAGGGATTTATATTATTGAATGAACAAGAGAGTTAGCTTTTGTACCAACAGCTGGCTGTTCCATGATGCTGTCTCATGTCATAAACATAGCTTTTTACTGTTACTTCTTACTGTCACTTCTTTAAGTGTCAAGTTCATCACCAATCTGCAGACTTTATTTATTTGCAGGACAAAAGACAGAGGGCATGAGTTGCAGAGCGTTGTCTCTAATGGTGATGGCAGACATTTGACCCAGTGAGGCAATGGAAATAAATGTAGGCTATCTTTCACTCAGATGATAAGTTACAGTGAAGGAAAGAAAATGAGTCTTTGAATTAATTGTAGAAACCTGTTGAAGGTTTTACTGTTTTTATTATCATGATTTGAAAACACTCCTTCCAGTGCTGTCAGTAAAACTGACGTCTGTCAGAGAAGTGTCATCAGGTTTGATGCCAACATTTTTCATTGGCAGAATCATTTTCCATGACACAATCGACCACACTTATTAAAAGGAGCGCCAAATGACGAGTGCACTGCCTCGCAACGGTGAAAACTTTAACCAGACTGTTGACATTTGAAGATGAAAGGACTTTGTGATAAAATACAGTGTTACAGTACATGGTCAGGTTAGGGTTCATCTGTCAAAGGAAGTCATTTATGTTTCTTATTACTGCTCTGTGAGTTTGGACTGAAGAACATCAGGTCTTGTTTGTTCCACAGGTGTGTTGTGTTATGTTGTTTGCAGCAAATGAAAAAAAAAAAAAAAAGCTAATGGAACTTGCAGTGACTCAGTGAGAGTCAGTGTTTGGAGGCTGGAGGAGGCTTGTACCAACATGGCTGCGTTACACAGTCCTGCTGTGTCAGTCTGTCTTTTCACTACAAAAACACACAGGGAGAACAGAGCTGCAGTATCAGCTTACTAACACACACACTCTCTCACACACAGGCAGGTTTCCTCATCCTGAATTGAATCCTCCCAGGCCTTTATGACCTTTCAGAAAAGTTTTTGACCCATGGGCTCCTGTTCTGGACAAATCTGTCCATGTGTGTGTGTCATACGGAGAGACAAAGAGACCGAGGGAGACCAAAAGCAAATTCCCTGATTTCCAGCTCATCCTCAGTGATTAATAACACAGATAGAAAATGACCCTCTTGTTTAGTCATTATCATACAGAGTAAAGGAGAAATCCCCGGAGCGTCAATGTTGGTTTTGGCAGACAAAACCAAGCATGAATGCTGTGTTTGTGTGTGTGTGTGTGTGTATGTGTGTGTCTGCTGCATATGTTGGAAATCAACTGTTTTAAGTTTGTCATAGCAGGTGAAGTCATTACAGCAGACCCCTGTTTTTTTCATGTGTGCAGTAGAGTGAACATGTGTGTCAGTGGATATATGAATGCCATATTGAAGCACAACAAAGTACCGTCATTTTTACACTACGCTAACAATGAGAAGGCTCCTCGCTATTACCATCAGTTCAGTAGTTTGTTCTCTTCAAATTCATAAAAAAAAGTTAATTAAACTGTTCTTTGCAAATATCCACATTCTGTTCCAGTTTTAACACAATGGACCCTCTTACAGTTCATATGCAGCCGTACATAAGAGTAAAGAGACTGACAGGTGACACAAACCCCTGACAGTGTCAGATGAAGTTTCAATGATCTCAGACTTTAAACCTCCTCCAGAGGAAATAA